GGGTCTGAGCACGGGGTTTGTTGCCCTGAGGCGAGGTCCAGAGCGGGCGCCTGGCACTCGGGGCGCGCCACCAGGGTGGCTCTGAAGAGTTTGGGAAGATGTGGGTGGTTCTCGATCACCTGTTGCACTAGAGGGTGGGGCAAGGGAAAAGGGTGGCCGTGAGCTTGAACTCGCGTTCTGCAGAGGCACGGGCCTGCCCTCACTCTCTCCCCTTGGGGGACGAACAGGGGCCTCCAGGCCCTGGCACCTGAAGGGAGGACCCAGAACTCACTCTGTTGCCCAAGCTAGAGTGCTGTGGCGTCAGCCTAGCTCACAGCAACCTCAAATTCTTGGGCTTAGGCAATCCTCCTGCCTCAGCCTCCCGAGTAGCTGGGACTACAGGCATGCGCCACCATGCCTGGCTAATCTTTTCTATATATTTTTAGTTAGCCAATTAACTTCTTTCTATTTTTAGTAGAGACAGGGTCTCGCTCTTGCTCAGGCTGGTCTTGAACTCCTGACCTTGAGTGATCCTCCTGCCTCAGCCTCCCAGAGTGCTAGGATTACAGGCGTGAGCCACCGCACCCGGCCCTCATGAGTTTTTAAAAATGCATTTTTGTGGGGCTTTTCAGGGTTATAAAAATACTCCCTACCAAACAATATTGGTGAACTGTGACTTTTATGAAAAGATGAGAGAGGGGTGGCAAGGAATGATTTCTGTCCCAAATTGAATAAAACTCCAAAGAAAGGAGAGGGATATTCCCTGAGCCCTTAATCCCTCCATGACCCCAGGGAGTCACTTCTGTTAGGAGCTCCCCATTTTATAGATGGGAAAACTGAGGTCCCACTATGAAGGAAGAAGCAGGGGGTCGAACCCACCTGCTCAAAGCCACCTCCCGCCATGGAGAGGGTTGGCCGGTGTGGCCCAGCTGCCTCCCTCTCGGGGCCCTCACCCTGCGAGGCCTCTGCAGGTGCTGTCCTCCCACCTGGATGCCCCGCTGGTTCCCCAGCCCTCCTTGATCCTGAGGCTGGGCTGGGGCCTCCTTTGGGCCTCTCACAGCCCTAGTCACTGACACACACTGGCCTCCCTACCCCAGCCTGTGGGGAGCCCCGAAAGCCAGGAATGGGACACGCCCAGGCAAGGTACACGGTGGCGCTTAACACCAGCTAACACGAACACTCCTGCTGCCAGCGCCTGCCCACTGAGGGGCATGTCCCGTGTACCCCCGGGTGGCCCCCTGCTTATGGCACCCCACTGCTGCTCCGTGGGGCTCAGGCCAACCTTTCCGGTATCCCAAGGCCACGGCGAGGTCCATCGGGGTGTAGCCTGAGTCGGCCTCGGTGGTGAGGTCGGCGCCTCGGGCTGCAAAGCAGAAGGGGGGGAAGGGGGGCAAGCGAGCCCAGAATGGGACCTGGGGACTTGGGAGACCCCGTGATCTCACCCCTCACGATGCAGCCGTGGGCCTGCCCTTTGCCCGTGTGGCCTTGGACAAGAGCCCCGCCCCTCCAAGGCTCAGTCTCCTCTGCAGACTGTGGGTCCAGGGTCCCCGAGGCATGGAGGGTGGAGGTGTTCAACCCCTTGGCCAGACCTCTGTGCTGCCCTGCCATTTCCTGTCCCCATGTGCCCGCTCTGAGAGTGGCAGGTAGTTACCACCCAGCTCAGGAACAGCACAAGCAGAGCTCGGCCCCCTCCCTGCCCTCGGGACTCCCGCAGGGCCAGCTGGGGGGTCTGGGCCCCCCGCCCGCCCCCTGAGGCTAGTCTCTACCCCCACTCACCCAGCAAGGCCTCAACGCACTTCACGTGGTTCCCACGCACAGCGTACAGCAGGGGCGTCCCTCCATTCTGTCGGGGGTGGGGGCAAGGGAAACTCAGCGGTTTATCTTTCCCCGGTTCTCACAATGCACCCCACTCTCTGGCCTCCAGTTTAATGTGGTGCCTTCTCCTGCTCATCACCTGGCCAGTCTATCTTGCACTTTGAGTATTGAGCTTAGACGCCCCTTCATCCAGGAAGCCCTTCCGGACCTTCCCTGGTCAGGAAGTTTTGCGTGTCTGAAGCTGCCTGTGCGTCTGCCATCACAGCACTGCCGTTCACTGCCTGTTTCCATGTCTGTGTCCCCCAAACGGGGAGCTTCGTGAGGCTTTGGGAGCGGGTCTGGCCTGAGTCCCCAGCACCCAGAGCAGACCTGGTGCCCTGCCGGCATTTGATAAAAATGTTTTGGGTTTGTTTTATTTTTAATTTTTTAGAGATAGGGTCTCACTGTGTTGGCCAGGCTAGAATAGAGTGCAGTGGCATGATCGTAGCTCACTTCGGCCTTGAACTCCAGCTCAAATGATCCTCCTGCCTCAGCCTCCTGAGTAGCTGGGACTACAGGCACGAACCACCACGCCCGGCTACATTTTTTAGTTTTTATGTAGAGAT